CTTGCCCCTGAGCTGGTGGATGTTTTAATCAGGGATTTGGCCAGAAGCGCAGAAGGCAAGCTCACCAAATCTCCAAAGGACACTGAGGTGAAAGGGAGTTGGAGACAGAGTTACAATTTTAAAATGATTTTGGCAGGCTTCGGGACCCTGAGCGGATCACAGTTCGTTGTCATTTAATTGGCATAATGTTAAACTACGTCCTTCAAAGTCAAAAGCAGAAGTGCAGGTTAGGAGAGGCTTAGGTTGGCAAGAGTTGTATATGAAAAAGATACAGGGATTTTATTTGGCTACAAGGAAGATATGAGTCGACAGTATGACAACGTGGTTATATTAAAAAACAGGGTAGAGCTGTAGTCCCCAACCTCCGGGCCACAGATTGGTACCAGTCCGTGGCTTGTTAGAAAGTGGGCCTTACAGCAGGAGGCGAGCAGTGGGGTGAGGGAAGCTTCCTCTGTATTTAGGGGTGAGGGAAGCTTCCTCTGTATTTAGGGGTGAGGGAAGCTTCGTCTCTATTTACAGCCGCTCCCCGTGGCTGGCACCACCGCCTGAGCCCCACCTCCTGTGAGATCAGCCGCTGTCTCCCAACACCCCCACATGGGACCGTCTAGTTGCAGGAAAACAAGCTCAGGGCTCCCACTGATCCTGCATTGTGGTGAGCTGTATAATTATTTCGTTATATATTACAATGTAATGATAATAGAAATAAAGTGCACAAGAAATGTAATGCGCTTGAATCATCCCGAAGCCATCCCCACAGCCCCGTCTGTAGAAAAATTGTCTTCCATGAAACCGGTCCCTGGTGTCAAAAGGTTGGGGACCACTGGGTTAGAGATCAGAAAAAGAAGTCTCTTTCTGCTTTATGTGATTTACTCTCGTCAGACAATGCCAGGGTATTGTATTCAGTTGTAGGGGCAAGTTTAAGAAAGATACTCATAAATTAGAATGGATCACTGAGGGGAGGAAGGAAAAGGGAGGGCCGAATTAAAAAGATCCGAAACATAAGTTGTTTAAAGAACGGTTGAAGGAAAATAAGGGAATTCAGGTGATTGCTGTTTTTTCGAGCTACCATATGGAAAAGGAGTAAACTTGTCTATTTTGCTCTGAAAAGGAGAAATGAGATTAATGAGAGAGAGAGAGTTCATGGAAACATATTTTGGCTCAATAGAAGGAAAATTTAGAGCAGTTCAGTGATGGAAAGAACTATCGCATTAAATTGCGAGCTTCCTGTTTCTGGAGATATTCAAGCTGGGGCTGCACAACGGTCTCCCTGGGACTCTGAGGGATCCCAACGTGGAGCGGAGCGAGAGCTTTGGCTGGTGACCTTTGCGATCCCTTCCAGGTCTCATAGTCTGTGATTTAAGTGAGCGTGAGTGCCAAGGCCGCTCACGGCAGGCCGGAGCCAAACTCTCAGCTCTTGGCTCCGACGCTCACCAGCTGTGTGACCTTCAGCTAAGAAGTTAACCATTTCTTGCTGCAGTTTCCTCGTCTATGAAATGAGGAGCTGAATTCACTAATGTCGAGCCGCACACCAGTCTCCTCGGGCGTCCCCGTATTCCATGCCGGAAACACAGAGTTCGGGCTGACATCAGCCTTTTTTAAAAGTCTGCTTGCAAGAAGGCTTAAAAGCCAAAAGCTATTGTTGATTCTGGGGGCCACTGAGCTAAGCTCGGTTTGCGTGTTGGCAGGAGAGCCAGCGACTGTGGCCCTGGAGTCTGTTCTCATGAGATCCGTGGCAGGAAGTTGATCAAGTGTCTGATAATCTGGGTGCCCTCAGACACCTGTACACGCTGGCTGGGTTCAGCGACGCCTTTGCAAACAACTTAGAAGAAATGAAGGTCATATTACCATCGCAGCATAATTCTGTCTTTCACAAAGCAAACTTTTGTGCTTTATTTGCTTAATGTTCTGGCAATTGCTCTTGAGCTTCGCTGACAATCGTGAGAACAAATGTCCATAAAGCAGCTTACTGTGTGGGGACTCTGTTATAGAAATATTGTATAAGCTAATTTATTTAATCAGTTTATAAGCTGCAAATCTAATGATGAAAATCTAAAGCTGAAAATCTAATGATGAATCAGTAGATGAGATCATTTTTCCCCTACAGAAAGGGAGTAGTTAAAATCTAGTTTAAGTTTTTCTTAGTGGTAAAGAGTCCAGAATTCAGATCCATGCTCTCATTCTCTGAGTCTTCATTGTTCGAAGACTATAATGTCTTGGTGGTTCATTCGATTACTAATACTTTTCTTCTCTGCCTAGATGAAGGCGCCTCACTTCCACTGCCAGTGCCCTCTAGCTCTTCTCCTATTCCCTCCTTGACTGCTCAGTGATGCTCACATCATTGTCTCCAAGTTCCCTTTCCTCGGTTATTTTTTTCCAAGGATCTTTGAAAATGCAACCATCCATGTGTGTGTCATCGTTTGCTTAGATAGAGATGTAGAAGTTAACAGACAGGATTTCAAACACTTTCTCCTGAGGTCAGCAGGGGAAGAAGTAAATACATGTATGTTTCTTGTAAGGACATGAGGAATTTAAAACTTCATTCCCTGGCTTGAGGGTCTGGCCGTATTTACTCTATCCAAATACAGTACCACATTTTCTTCCATCTCTTTGTTTTCTTAGGATTTAAATGAAAACAGCTGTTAAAAATAAGAGCACATGAGTCAATCTTGAATCCCAATGTAGTGATTGCAGTTTCCATCTCGGTAAAGTCGTCTCAGTGCACCGAGCCCCGTAGCACAATCTCCTTGGGGCAAGAACACTACCAACGGCGTTGTCAATTTTATAGCAGGACCTTAATTTTTGTTTTCCAAACCTCTAAGATTAAACACTAAATCAGTTGCAAAGCCAAAAAATAAATAAATAAATAAATAAATAACAAGGGAAAAATACTTCAATTTAAAAACTGGATTCTTGGGATGTGCCCTTTTTCCGAGATGGATTTTGACCAACTCCCTATGTTGATATTAGAAATGTCAGTTATTGTCCTACATTTTTGAAAGTGGGGTTTTCTGGGCTCCATGGTATCCTCACTGTGAAGAACTGTGCTTGAACTCTTGTAGAAGCTGTGCCTTGAATTGTATTTTCTCTTTTCCAAGTTCCTAAGGCTTATGAACTAGTAAGCCAATCTCAAAAGAGTCATCCACAATCTATTAATCGATTATCATCTTTCAGAGCAGGTTGATCCTCATTTAGTTCTATCGAGTCCCACATCAACCATTTAGTCCTTGACCGAGGAATCCCACTGCGTGAAGCTGGGATGGCCCCTCCTTCTCCCTGAGCCCTGCTCCCGAGAATCAGCCGCGTCAACGGACTGATCTAACGTGGCCCTGTGCGTGCAGACTGCGTGGAGAGCTCCGGGCCTATGGAGAGAGAGGCAGGAAACTGGGACCTTCACTCACTTCACTTTTCCCACTTTATTTCCCCTTGATTTCTATATTGTTTAATTAGATTATTTCTAAAGTTCATTTCTACACTAAGATTTCCATAATTCTGTTGCCACTATTTCCCCCAGGAGCCTAATTTATGTGTTAGAAATGAAGACACTGCATGCGTTGTGTGACTGATGGAATTCTGAGAAGGCCATTCAGCCCCAGCTCCCTCCACCACACCTGAAACCCCACCATTAGAAATTCATTTCTTGTGGCAGGATATTACCTCTCAGATTCTTTTTACTATTATTTTTGTTTTTATTTCAGAGGGTACAAATGCTTTGGCTACATAAATTGCCTTTGCACTGCCCCAGTCAGAGCTACATGCGTGCCCATCCCCCAGACAATATGCACTGCCCTTGTTAGGTGTGAGTTTATCTGTCCCCTCTGCCTCTGCCCTACCTTCCCAACACCGATGAATGTCACTTCCCTATGTGTGCCTAAGTTTTGATCAATGAGTATCAATTTAATGGTGAGTACATGTGGTGCTCGTTTTTCCATTCTTGTGATACTTCACTTAGAAGAATGGGCTCCAGCTCCAACCAGGATAATACAAGAGTTATTAGTTCACCATTTTTTATGGCTGAGTAGAACTCCATGGTATACCAATACCACATTTTATTAATCCACTCATGGATTGATGGGCACTTGGGTTGTTTCCATTCCTTTGCAGTTGTGAATTGTGCTGCTGTAAACATTCGAGTGCAGGTGTCTTTATTTTATAGTGTCTTTTTTTTCCTTTGGGGAGATGCCTAGTAGTGGTATGGCTGGATCAAATGGTAGTTCTGCTTTTAGTTCTTTGTACCTCTCAGATATGACACCTTTTAAAATCCAGTATGTCCGGAAGGGCAAACCCATAAAACTAGTATGGGAAGCAGTGTAGTTGGTTAGCAGGAGGCCCTGAATCAGACTAGCTGAATTCACATCCTGGCTCTGCCTCTCACAAGCTGTATGACCTTAGGCAATTCATTCATCTGTCTTTGCCTCCTCTTCTCATCTGTAAAATGGGGATGATGATAATACTCTCCTCAGGGTTTTGTGAGGTTTCGGTGAAATATGTGAAGTGCTGAGATGAACAGTATTCTGCTCAAAGCATTAGCAATTATTGGCTTTAATTTGCATAAATTTGCATATTATATTGATGTCCTTTTGACACAAAGCCGATATTAAGTCACAAAGAAATTAGAGTTTTGTTTGAGAAACTGGGAGAGGATGCTTTGAACACAAGAGGTGCTGTTAAGGGGTGGCCTACATGAGTGAGGTGTTAGAGTTGGTAGCAGAAAGTCACCAGGTGCCTGGGGCTGGGTAGGAAAGCATTTGTTAGAGAAAGAAAGGAGATAGACCTGCTGCTAGTCCTAGCCAGTATGCTCAGTAAGTGGCAGAATTAATCAGCTAGGACAGCAAACAAGTAATATGATGATGTACACTTGCCAGTGAACTTTGAATTCAGTACTCGCTTAACTTTTTCTATGTCTCATAATCCCATGCCTTCAACATTGCACTTGAAGAACCATGGAAAAATGTAAAATGAAGTGTTTTACTTTGCTAAATCCCCCTTCATCTTTCCTTCAGATTACATGAAGCAGACGACATTTGAAGCCCAAGCCTTCTTGGAAGCCGTGCAATTCTTCCGACAGGAGAAGGGTCACTATGGCGCGTGGGAAATGATCACAGGAGATGAAATCCAGGTAACGACAGGGCTCAGAATTTTGGATCTTGTCTCTGTCCGAGTGGTAGGAGGTCAGGGTCCTTTTAATAAATGATCAAGTAAAAAAAAGTTACAAGAATAGAAGATGTGGTTCCGAAGGCCATCCCTCTCATTGTCTAGAAGCATTGCTCAGCAAGCTAACATTAGGCACCCGCGACAAAGACAACCAAACTAGGCGCTCAATAGGGCAGCCAAAAACACTGCAACGGCCGTGGAAAGAGCAGCTTCTACCATTTTTATAAAAAGAATTATTCTTTCCAATGATCTTATGCTTTTGATCTTATCTTAGACTAAAAACAAATGTGAATGGTGAGGTATGGTGCAAAGCGTGTGGTGGGGCTTTATGGTCAGCAGACTTGGACTTAAATCTTGTCAAATCATTTAACCTCTTTTAGTCTCAGATGACCCCTCTAAAATAATAGCAGTAATAATATTTACCTTGCAGGGTTATGAACATTAGATGAGATGCAATTGTCTTTATCTACTGAATGCTATGGAAATGAAGTAATGAATAGAATCAAATTTTAAAAGTGTTAGATAGTTTTCTAAATGTTCTATTTAGCTTTTAGTTTTCTGTCCTCTGGGGTACATTATAATTTCCCGTTATCCTGCTTAAACACCAGTCATGGCCTAAACACCTCAATGGGCTCGGTCCCGGGGACAGCCATACAGATCTCCAAAGGACACTGTGTTTTATCCTGTGACCATGGCCTCCTGGGTGACACCAATCACAGGGCTGATTCAGCCGAGAAGAGGCTGGGTATGGGCCTTATTTAATTAGAGGAACACAGTGTCCAAGAATGTGATTCTTTTTTTTTTTTTTTTTTTGCCACGTCTCTAGGGTACGTCTTTTGGGGGCTGGGAAATTTGCTGTTAGGGAAAAATATTTGGAAGATGCAAGATGGTCCCTTGTCTCTGTATGGTCATTAAACATCTAAAGCCAAAAACATTTTCTTATGATGATGGAGCTGTTCTTTACTGTTTTACCATATGCAGACATATGTTTACCATCATAATCTTGTCCTTTTGTTGGTAGATTCTAAACTACTCTTTTCCCAATCTGAGACTTATTTCAGAACTTTAACCAATTCTTGGTTTCTGATATTTTGGGGAAGCACATTCATTTAGAAATCTGAGAGGACTGAAGACTTGTTATATTTATGCCAAAAAGAAAAACAAAACCATAAGAAGAGGAGGCTAAAGCACTGGACGCTGATTGGCCTGCCACGTAAACCAACATACTTCATGCACACACCAGTGTTCAGATGCCTTTTTCTGACACTTTTTAATGTTCAAATCCTAACTCTGTTTGTTTTCCCAATCTTATGAGATGGGGAGGGCAGTTACTATTATTTCCATTTTGTAAATGAGAAAACTGAGGGAGCCATAGGACAGTTAGGTGACTTAACTGGTTTTATTCATTCAACAACTATTTGCTGAGTGCCTGCTGTATGCCAGGCGCTTTGCTGGGGGCTAGTGATCCAGAGATGGACCAGACAGAAGGGTCCCCGCCCTGTGGAGGAGGTTGACGGTTTCCGGGGCACATGCTAAGTGGATAAATGGCAAAGAGGATGGTGGCTTCTGTCTCCTGCCCAGCAAAGATCAGCGCCAGCCATGGGAAGATGCTTAGTGACACATTGATTCTGCTCCTTCAGCTCAGCTGTGCCACTTGCTACATTTTTTTCTTTCACTTGCAATCTTACATCAGATCCCATTCCTTCATGAGAACATTGAAAACAGGTACTTGATAAATCCTCTCTGGGAGTTGAGTATTTAGTTCGTTGTGCTTTGTTTACTTTGTGATTTTTGCTGTAGGCTGCATGTGCTAAGTGCTATTAGGTATAAGAGAACTAAACGACTCATCATCCCTTGCCATTGAGGTGGGGCAAGACAGACATAGAAAGCACCAGAAGACAAGGCAGCGTGTGTGTGTGTGTGTGTGTGTGTGTGTGTGAGAGTACGTCGGTCTGGACGTGTATCCACGTCATAAAGCATCAGTGCAAAGCGGTCAGAGAAAGGCCCTAATTCTGCAGTATAAACAAATATTGTTAAGTGGGAAAACAAAACAAAAATCAGAAAAGAGATCAGCAAAAGCTGGAATTATGAAGTGATCCCATGAGAAGTTTTGCTCCCCTAGGAATTTGATCATCTTTGGTGAAATCACAGACTCACAAAATGTGAGTGCTGGGTTATTTGTCCAAAACCCTCCAGGTGAGAGAAAGGACATTCAGAGAGGTTGGAAGTCACAAAGCCAGTCTGTGACACAAATGCATTTTGCACTAGCTTGGAGAAGCTGGTAAAAAGAAATGGTTTCCAAAAACTTTCCCATGTGGGTCCAGGTAAAGATTAAGGTTTGCTGTAAGTTCTGATACATGGAGCTTAACAGTAAAGCAGTATCCACTCTAAGACTTAGAAAAAAGAGGCCAGGAGCCCAGTAAAGCTACCAAGTAATTAAAGAAAATGGTGTGGCATAACTGAGTTTGAGAAAATGACATCTTTTGTTTAAAGCACTGGAATTTATTTGCATTTTTTCTTCCTGTCTGCTAAGAACTTAATCATAACACCGTCCTAACCCCCTCCACCCCAGGGGCCTGTATTCAGAAGGTTTTCGCCCTTGTTGCAGCACTATCTGCACAGTAGTGACTCACACAGCAAGTGTGGCGGGCCTCATGGCAGCGGTTGTTTTAGGCAAGCGTCCAGGCAAAGCACATGTCTCAGAATAACTTGCCTGACAGACTGCTAAGGTGAAAATATTTGTACACCAGTAAAAACATCAACATATTTTCTACTTGTCAATATAAACGTATCAAATGAGATCATGAGGGAAGGTGCTTTGCAAAATGTTTTTTTTTATTTTTAACAGCTTTATTGAGATATAATTTCTATAATACCTCTAAAAAACTACACATGTGTAATGTATACAATTTGATGAGATTGGACATATGCATACACCCGTGATAACTATCACCACAATCGAGGTAGTAAACATATCTATCACCTTCTAAAGTTTCCTTGTGTCCCTTTGTGTGTTCTGTTTTATAGTAAAAACAATTGACATGAGATCTACCCTCCTAACAAATTTTTAAGTGCACAATACTGCATTGTTAACTATAGAAACTATGTTGTACAGCAGATCTCTAGAATTTATTCGTCAAGCATAACTGAAACTTTATACCAGTGGAGTAACAACTCCACATTTACCCATTCCCTGCCCCAGCCCCAGCCCCGAGCATTGTCCACTGGTCTACTCATCCATTTAGCAAGCCGGCAGGGTTGGTGTCTCTGTCCCTATTTCCCAAAGCCCCCTGTCTTGCCCCCTTTTCACTAAGACTTTGTGGCTGCCTCCCTCCCATGCCCCAGTTGGACGGGTGGGCTGGCTCAGAGCACCCTAGGCCATCTTGGTTCAGTCCTCCTAGATGTGTGTTGTGGCTCAGAAAATGATACCACAAAGTATGGCGCCTTGGTGCGCTGAGTGCTCTGAGCTAAAGAACTAAAGAGACCCGTGAAGCAGCCTCAGAAGTGGAGTCTCTGTCTGACCTCCTGCCTTCCTGTCTCTCTCCGCTCTCTCTCTCTCTCTCTCTCTCTCTCTCTCTCTCTCTCTCTCTCAAAGGTGCCTTGTAAATGTAAAGCACCTACAGTGACTTGGTACATTTGTTATTTGTCTTTAAATCAGCCATGGGGGCCAGAGAACCGCTGGCAGTTCCCACGCAGCAGAGCGGCCCAAGACAAGAAACCGTCCGTGTGTTGCAGGCCTCATCCCTGCGTTCCAGAGTTGTCTGTCATTGAACGAGGTTGGGTGTGACCCCTGTAAATGGACTCTGTCCCCGCACGGCCACTCAGTACCACAAGGGGGGGCAGCAGCCTGGCCGGACGGTGAGGCCGCCTCAGGAAGGGGGCTCTCCCAGGCTCACCCTCCTCTTGGCCGCCACATCTGAAAAGAAACTCTGGCGCGGCCTTCGGGGAAGAGCCCAGTTTGTTAGTCTTGATCAACCTAATGACACGTTTGGCTTCCTATACGTGTGATAGGATTTAAAAATCTCCACATCCCAGTGGTTAAACTTATACGACACCTCTTTTTTTTTTTTTTTCTCAAACAAAGTGATATTTTTAGGTTCCTTAGGGTGAAACTCAGTGGATCCTGTTCTGAGGGGAGGAGGTGAGGAAACTCCTTCAATGTCATGCTTTGTTAGATTAGCTGCTTTCCCTAGGAGAGCCCGAGAGCTTAGGACCCTGCTCGTGCAGAGCTGACCAAGGCAGGGCTTCCCAGAGTGGGCTCCGGGCCTGTGAGGGACCTCACAGAGTCAGGGTGGAGTGAGGTGGGGCCGAAGGTTAGAGGGCAAGGGTGACAGTGTTGGGATGAGACGCAGCTGGGGGTCAGCGCCCAGAGGTCCTGCCTGCCCCGTGTCTAAGCCTCGGCCTTCTTCCCACCGGACCCTTGCAGCCGTCCCCAACCTCTTCTTTTTTCTCCAGACACAACTCCTTTCCAATTCCCTAAGTTGTAAAACAGAACCAAATTTCTTGGAACGCTGTGTGGGAAAGACTACAAGAAAACTATAAGCCCACCCAAATGGAATGTTCTTTCTCTCTGGCTCTGCGTATAACATTTTCATCTTTTCAAACCCATTTCACACTTATGCTCAAATTCAAACCAAACTCTGCAAAAGGATAAATCAGGACAATTATTGTGATTCTTGAGCTAAATATTTTCCACCCATTGATTTGGAGTTCTGGCGTCAGTCTCCTTCTGTCGTGGCTCGCTCTCTGCACGCCACACTTTGGGCAGATGTGTTCCAAACAAGAGCTTATCCCACTGAGCAGGACGGGGTCTGTGGATTGTTAATTACCTACTGGATCTAATTGTTAGGCCTGCTCACTTCCATGGAGTTTTATTTGCACATGTCAAGTTCGTCTTGCATAGCTCAGAAACGGGTGACTCGTCCCTGGCCTGCCCCAGAGCGTGGCAAAGACAGGCGGAAACATCCCGCCAGTGAATTACCAGGGCTAGTGGAAATGCCGTCCCCGTTATAACCTGTGCCACGCCAGGCAGATGCACGGCGCAGATGACAGCAGCCCCACTGCGGCCCCGACCCGAGCAGCCTCCTCGCCCAGGGACTGGACGGCTCGTCCACCCCACCCTGGGAGGGTCCTGCTTGGTTGGGCTGGGGCCTCACACCCTGCTGCAGCGCAGCCCTGGCGAAAGGCAAGATCCAGTGAGCTCATGCGTATTTCCACCAGCATGAGGCTGACCAGTGACCTCAGAGAAAATCTTCCTCAATTCCCAAAGCGTACTTTGAATTTTTATGAGAAGTGAGAAGGAGGAGGTCAATTATTTCGAACAAATATTATTTCAAACTCGTTGAACAGATGTCTTGAGCAATTCTCTACTTTTCTGCCTGCTCCCATTCCTAAAACTGCGCTTGCCCTTTTGTAAATCCTAGTCTGAACCTCCTAGCAAAGGCTGAGCTGTGGGACTCCTGGTCTTTTTAAGTCACCGTGAACAGCAGAGCTTTCACAGTTCAGAGCCAGGGGTACAAAAGGGAGGGCGAGTGCCACACGGTCATTGGAGCAAGTGGATGTATAGAATGCTGCTCAGGCTCGTGAGAAACATTTTAATTGATCTAAGCAAAATCTGGGGAGAGATTTGGGAACAAATTTTTAAAAAGCACCTGAAAATGTCAGACACCCCCCATATTCTGCTCAGCCCCCACATGTCCAGTTGTTCTGAAGTATTGGTTACTCCCTTCTTTCTCTTTTTCTTCTTTCAAACTGTATTTAGCTTTTTTTTTTTTTTTTGAGACAGAGTCTCACTTTGTTGCCCAGGCTAGAGTGAGTGCCGTGGCGTCAGCCTAGCTCACAGCAACCTCAAACTCCTGGGCTCAAGCGATCCTACTGCCTCAGCCTCCCAAGTAGCTGGGACTACAGGCATGTGCCACCATGCCCAGCTAGTTTTTTGTATATATATTTTTAGTTGGTCAATTAATTTATTTCTATTTTTAGTAGAGACGGGGTCTCGCTCAGGATGGTTTCGAACTCTCAACCTCGAGCAATCCGCCCGCCTCGGCCTCCCAGAGTGCTAGGATTACAGGCGTGAGCCACCGCGCCCGGCCTGTATTTAGCTTTTTGAAAGATGCTTTTTACAAACAGTCATGGTATTTTAGGCAGGACCTGGACAGACGGTTGTCGATAGTATGCAACAAACTTTCCAGCTCCCTTCTTCAATGGACCTCCCAGGTTGGAAAGCCACAGAAAACCCAACGAAGTCTTCATTTGATTCCCCTCTTGACTAGAGTGAGGGCTGCCACTTCACGTGTAGCATGCTGTTGGACAGCTTTTCATGAGCTGGCCCCGACATTCAGGAAATGAAATGAAAATGGCAGAATTATCAGTCTGCAGACACACAACCTAAAACGAGGACTGCTGCTCTCCTGAGGGCTGCCGTCGTTATGGCATGACTGGAGGGTCCAGACTGCCGGCCACACTGCTCCCCAGGGTAGGCGGGCGGGCCAGGTCCCAACAGGTGTCCGAGTTTGAAGGAATTAAGTGTTTGCTGACGGAGAAGAGGGAGGAGAGGACATAAAAACAAATCTCAGTCTTTCCACACCGAAAGGCGTTTGTGCCCAAGTGGCTGCATACGTCGACCTCAGGGAATCCTTCCTCCTGGGAATGAAGAGGAAGTTTCTCAAAACTAGAAGGGAAAGGGGTTTGCCCCCCTATCAGTCCAGCTTCAGACACATTCTGTTAGTGACATATGCCCCTTCCTCAAATGGCAGCAATGAAATGTTCCGTGTGCTAACAAGATAGCTTTAAAAAAATTATAGAGCAAAATTCTGCATTTTTATAAAACTCAATTAAAAATAGTATTTCAGGCTCATGCCTGTAATCCTAGCACTCTGGGAGGCTGAGGCTGGCAGATCACTCAAGGTCAGGAGTTCGAGACCAGCCTCAGCAAGAGTGAGACCCTGTCTCTACTAAAAATAGAAAGAAATTCATTGGCCAACTAAAAATATATAGAAAAAATTAGCCAAAAAATTAGCGCACGCCTGTAGTCCCAGCTACCCGAGAGGCTGAGACAGAAGGATCCATTGAGCCCAGGAGTTTGAGGTTGCTGTGAGCTTGGCTGACGCCATCGCACTCTAGCCTGGGCAACAGAGTGAGACTCTGTCTCAAAAAAAAATAAAATAAAAATAGTATTTCAAACCATACGGTCACCAGAAGCGCACAGTAAGCAAAAAGGCACCCACCTCACTTGGCGCTGCAGCACCTTCAGCTTTCTGTGCCGGGCAGTGCGGGGTTTTCTCAGCTCTCCTCCACGCTGCTCCTCCCAACTTTTTGCAAACATCGAAGTGGATGGAAGGGGGCTCAGGGACAGTAGTGACAAAGAGCATGAAGACTCTTAGATCATGAGGGGACTTGAGGAGGATGGATGACAGTCCCAGAGGATACAGACTAGGACTGGGGCCGCCAAAACCAAGCGTGACACTCCATTCGCAGTTTTGCTACTGACATTTCCCCTGTTGTCCTTATTGCACTAGATCCTTTTAGCTGGAATAGGAGGAAGGGTAAATTTGAGGAGTTTGTTCTTTACATTGGGAAAACGGCAAGGGGACGATGTCCTCAGACATGCCTGCTTCTCGTGGGTGTGTGAGGATGTCTACCCTCTAACATTTGTCTCGGTGGAGACTTCTGTGGCCGCAGACCTGGGTTAACGATGAGCCCGCAGAGTTCACTCAGCCCGGGGCGGGACGTCTGGGGTGGACCCGACGTTGGGATCCCGGGATCCACCGCCCCTGGGGCTGTCTTCGCGCCGCAGGTGCTGAGCAACCTGGTGATGGAGGAGCTCCTGCCCACGCTTCAGACGGACCTGCTGCCCAAAATGAGGGGGAAGAAGAACGACAGAAAGAGGACCTGGCTCTGTGTAAGTGACGATCGTGTGCTGCAGCCGGGCTGCTCACAACGAACGTCCCCTTCCCTTTTCTTTTAGGGCATTTGTTGTTGTTCCTAGTGATTCCTTCCCCGGGTGGAGGAACACCTACCTCGGGCCTGCCCCGTCTCACTTCTGTGATAAGTCATTCAAACAGACTCAAACTTTGAAAGAAAAACGAGGGCGCATGTGCAGTGTTGTTTATGTTATGACAGTCTGTGACCAGGGCCCCTCCCTCTGCTTGACCCCGTCGGCACGGATGTTTGACAGAGCCAGATTTATGTGTCGTTTTCCCCGCGCAGCTCCTCGAGGAGGCCTACAACCTGGTGCAGCAGCAGGTGTCGGAGGGATTAAGTGCCTTGAAGGAAGAATGCAGGGCTCTGACAAAGGGCCTGGAAGGCACGATCCGTTCAGACATGGATCAGATCGTGAACTCAAAGAACTTCTTAATTGGAAAGATCAAAGGTCAGTAGAGATGATCCGTGCTCCTGCTAATCGAAGCAGCTGCGCACTTAGGGACCCAGCGCATGGCAGAATGCGCTGTTTTGGGGAGAATTAAACTGAGGAAATTGGGAGGAGGTAGTCACAGCTGTGACAGGTGCATGCTCTTGGGGGCCTGGACTGTCTCTTGGAAGCTTCACGGACACAAGGCAGAGGAAACTTTGCCTCTTGCCTTGTAGTGGTGCCTGTGTGTTCTGATGCTGCCTGCATCGCCCTCACCCCACTATAGCTCCCCATACTCTGAATTCTAATGGCTTCTGCCCCGCCTCTGCTCTGCTGCAAGCTCTCAAAGAGCAAAGCCCTGTTGCCCTGGTTTACTCTAGCATACCCGGGCCTAGTACCGTGCCTGGCACATACAGACTGTCAGTGAATGCTTGTATCAATGGATAAATGGATTTTCCTTTGATAGGAAAGCCTATAAGTTTGACTTAGAACCACTAAATCTGGATTTATAGCCCTAATTCCAACATTAGCCAGTTACATGTACTTGGGGAGGTTACTTGACTTCCATTTGCCTCAGTTTTCTCTGAAATCAGAGGGCCCACAAGAGTAGGATTGGCAAACTGCAGCCCTTGGGCCAAACCTGGCCCACTGCTTGTGTTTGTATGTAATGTTTTATTGCAGCACAGGCATGCTCATTCATTTACGTATCGCCTATGGCTGCTTTTGTGCTACAGCAGCAGAATTGAGTAGTTGGAACCAACACCTTATAGATTGCAAAGTCACAAATATACACTATCTGACCCTGGACAGATAAAGCAGTTTGTCTGTTCCCAGACAGTAGGCCTTAGACAGCGCTCAGGAATCCTATAGGATAATGTTCTATGGTTCTCGATTCTGTCTGGGGCCCCCACAACTCAACAAACTCACCACACCTGAAGTCACTCGCAGGGAGAGCATGCAGGCCCATCTGTGATTGTTTATCAGCAGTCTTCTTAGATGGTCAGGTCATCCACTCACTTGCTCACACACTCACTCATTTGACCATTAAAAAATATTTACCGAGTGCTTCCTTCCCAAGCAAGGCAGTGGAGCTTTTGTAGGGGACAAAAAGTTCCCGAACGCATGAGGCTGAGCATCTGAGAGGGGACTGTCTGCTTGGTGCATTATCCTCTGCAACCCAGAGAACTCACACTCCAGCCCAGCTTGCTCCAGGGCTCCTAGAGCAAGCAGGTCCTGCCGAGAGGAGATGAGAGGAGGCACCGCTGCAGCAAGGGTGGTGTGTCTGTGCACACGATGCTTTCCAAAGCCAGACAGAAACTCACTTCAGAGTGTTCTGTGTTTGCTGCGGTCCTGTCTTGTTCCTCCATGAGCACGACTGATCTAGAGTTGACTATAGAAACACTCTGTACAACTTAAAACTGCCAACGTCCAGCTCCTGTGCCAAAATTTCTGTTATCTGGGGCTAAGCCAGGCCTAACCGCGACCGTTCTCATGGCCTGAATTAAACTGCTCTCTCTTCCCTAAATCTCTGTGGCTCTGATATATCCACACAGGATTGGGGAAAGACTGCACCCTGGACTATTACTATTATTTGTTTTTCAAAAGAAGCCTTGAAAGGTAGTAATGATCAGGTCGTTTTAAAATGAAATATCAGGAGCGCATTTTACCCAGGCCTCTGGTTCTCTAACTTTAAAACAAAAAGGTGTACTTCAAGCTGTGTTGATAAAAGGCTCTGGATTTCAAAAATACTTGTGGAGTATTAAATGGTGATGTCTCCATTTCCTCTCATGTGACTCTTTGAAGTAAAGTGCCTGAGCTCTAGTGCTGCTCCACAATTATTTATTCATTCAATGAGCATTTATTCTGCTTCTGCTGACTACAAGGGCTGGGAGGATTCAAAGAAGACAACGTGATTTTACAAGTAGTAGAGGATATGAGGCATGTCACAGATGCTGGGACAGAAGGAAAAATAGGGCAAACGCCCTAGGAGAGGCAGGAGCAAAGAGCACGGTGGCTCCCAGTCTGGACACGGATCCAACTTCAACCTCAGAAAACTGCGTGGGCTCCTCGTAATGAAAGTGCTGCTTTAGCGTTGGGCAATTGGAAACAATGGCAATGGCAGCAGGTACAGCAAGAGCTAACAGTTAGAGTCCTTCTGGAGTGCCACTTCCAGAGTTCTAAGCTCTCTGAACATAGTAAACTCATTTATTCCTCACCATAATCCCAAGAAGAGATTGCTGTTATATGTCCATTTTACAGACACGGGGACGGAGGCAGAGGTTCAGTAACGTGCCCAAGATTCCAAAGCTCGTGTGTGGCAGAGTCAGGCTCCCGACCCAGCCCCTCTGGCCCCAGCTTTTCAGGCGTCCTCACTCGGTTCAAGGGCTTCCGACAGCTGCCTTCACGTCAGTAAGGTTTAGGAACCCGTGAGTCGCAACACCATATTCATCACAATGACATCTCTGCATACTTGAAAAATAGCAGAGCATGTAAGAATGGGACGTGAGATTTACTCAGCCCATAAGGAAACACCTGCAGGCCACAGCTCAGGAAGCCACGGGTGGCTCCGGGGTATTGGGCTGTCCTGAGTGGGTGGAATTTGAGCCAGGCCTTGACGAGAGGAGTAGGATGTTTATGAGCAGAGGTGGAGGAAGGAAGGCGCAGGTGAAACACTGAATAAAGGCGCAGAGAGGGGGCTGGAGCGCCGTGTAAACAGGCTGGGAGGGAGGACGGACAGAGAGGAATGTTCTCTCCCACGGCCCTCCCCACTCCTGTACCCGCCTCGGCCCCACCCAGCAGGTGAAATTGGCCGCTGCTGCCCCGTCTTTACATTACCCATGTTCAGCCTTGCTCTGCAATTTCAATTAGATGCTTCTCAAATAATTCCTCTCTCAAAGTCAATGAACTAGTAATTCATTTATCCTCTGGGCAAACAATTTTGCATTTTGGTATTAAGCAAGGCATTTTTAGAAGAGTCATAGATTGTTTCATATTTAAATCATACAATTGAAAAAGGGTTTTTTTCCTACTAATTCTATGACCTGTTACAATGTTTTACAACCCTAATTATTTATGACTTATTTTTTTTTTTTTTTTTTGAGACAGAGTCTCACTTTGTTGCCCAGGCTAGAGTGAGTGCCGTGGCGTCAGCCTGGCTCACAGCAACCTCAATCTCCGAGGCTCAGTGATCCTACTGCCTCAGCCTCCCGAGTAGTTGGGACTACAGGCATGCGCCACCATGCCCGGCTAATTTTTTGTATATATATTTTTAGTTGGTCAATTAATTTATTTCTATTTTTGGTAGAGACGGGGTCTCGCTCAGGCTGGTTTTGAACTCCTGACCTTGAGCAATCCGCCCGCCTCGGCCTCCCAAAGTGCTAGGATTACAGGCGTGAGCCACCACGCCCGGCCTATTTATGACTTATTTATAATATTAATAGTATTAGTCATTTCAGATTCTCAGAATAAGAGGCTACAATCTGATCCTTTATAACTCTGTGAAATATTCCTGCCAATTGAAATAAGGTTGTGGCCGTTCCTTGCGCTGTAAGCGTGTCGTTTGCCAATAAGAACTCGGGAAGCACACTCGTAGTCCTACTTCTGCAAGTTAGGACGTGGCCTCGGTCCAGTCGTCTGACATCGCCAGGCCTCCCTTTTTCTTTTTCCCATTTGTACAATGAGAGGCTTGGCTGCCGGCTCAGGGTTGCACTTCCCTTTTCAGTTCCGTGACTGACAGGGCTGTGTGACCTGCCTGGATCCGGAGCGAGCTCGGCCTCTCCCAGCCCAGGCTGCCCCGCACAGCGCCCTTCCAAACCCCGCAACGACGAGAACGACCTGGGCGCTGGGAACAAGGCAGATTCTCATGTCCCACCCAGACGGACAGGGCCTGCGCCTTTGCTCTGCGCCTCCTCTCCTAAATCAACGGCAGTATTTGCCTCTGGGGAGCGGAGTTATGGTGACAGTTTTTCACCCCTTTTTATGATTTTCTGTACTCTTTACATTTTTGTCACTAAACATGTCATTCTTATCAGAAAAAAAATATTGTTTTTGTTTTGTTTTGTTTTCATTGGGAATGGGGATGGGAGTTGGGTGGCAAACCGAGTAGAATTTGGTTCCATTTGCCCAAGAAAAGAATGTACTTGAGTTTGTAAAAAATCTTTTGATGGGGAGAGCGGGATGGAATTATATTGACTGATAAACTCTTAGAGAAAGAAATTAAAACTTAAGAAGTTATGTTTTTAGAAGACAAACTGCACATATTCGATGATGGTGACTGACAGCAGATGGGCGGGTCACCAGCCTTTTCTTCTTTGTATCAGACATTGCATAATGTTCAGAGGGACCAACAGAAAATGCATTTTATCCCAGGGCAAAGGAAAGCTTGGGCAGAGGACAGATTCTGTTTGCTTCAATTCTCAAAGCGCCCAGTGGTTTTCCTTTCTGGTGAATGCGGGCGCAGGGCTCCTCGTGCCGGTGTGTCTTGCCCGCTTAAGCTTGCCTTGGCTGTTAAATGGCTCCATGGGGCACGATCCAGTCCTGGCCTGACTCCAGGGCCTCTGAACCCAATTTTGTCCTAAGTCCCCATTGTTTGGCTGTTTCCTACCTCAGCGATGGTGGCGCAGCCAGCAGAGAAGAGCTGCGTGGAGAGCGTGCAGCCGTTCCTGGCGTCCATTCTGGAGGAGCTCATGGGACCAGTGAGCTCGGGGTTCAGGGAGGTACGCGCACTCTTTGAGAAAGAAGTGGATGAACTCAGCCAGAGCTTCCAGACCAGCAAAGACAGAGTCCAGCTAAAGGAGGTAGGACACAGAGCCGAGGAGTGCCTGGGCTGCCTTTTCCATGGGGCTTCATCTGCCATTTTCCCCTTCCTCCCTCCCTTCCTTCCATTCATCCAGACTTTCCCTCTACTCACCTAGCCTTTCTTCCATCCATCCGGCTACCCCACTTACCCATCCATTCATCTATCCATCCGCCTGATTTTCTTTATTGATGGTTTTCAAATTACAAAGATAATAACATATTTGTACAAGTGAAACAATATACTGAAATATACATATGAAGGCAAAATTAATCACCACCAGTGATACCCACTAACCCCAGTCCACCCCCAACTCCTAGGCCACCTCCCTTCCTAACCCCATGAATTAGCTAATACAGATAGCTTGGTATGTGTTTTCCTATGCTTTTTCTTTGCTCATGAAAGACATAAGCATATGTCCGCATTTAGAGAACTTTGTTTGGTTGGTTTGTTTTCAGAAACAGAGAGTCATGACATAGACCAATGTGTCTCCAAGTGTGGTCCCCGGACCAGCAACATCATCAGCACCTGGGTATTAAAAATGCAAATTCTCAGGCCTCACCACACATCTGCTGAATCAGAAACTCTGGGGGTTGGGGCCCAGAAGTCTGTTTTAACAAAACCTCCAGAGGATTTGGTTCACCCTAAAGTTTGAGAATCACTGACAAAGACATAATGAGGCAGCTAGGTTTTACACTTCACATATGATGAACATCCCTACAAGTGACTTGATAAAACCACATACTTCTGCTTCTTTTCCTTTCATATTTTTTTATGTATTTATACGCATATGAAATTGTACATAGACAGGACTCTTTTATAACAGCTTTGAGGTTTCTTATTGCAGCCTGTTTTTTTTTAACTTGCCTTTACTCCCCCTCCTTCCCTGAAGCTACACACCTGCCCTCAAGTAATCAGTGTTAACAACTTAGCACATGCCATCCTATACCTTTCCCCATGCTTATATGACATATAAAACACACATTTATTGGCTATTTTTTTAGATTGTTTGGTTTAAGAAAAATAGGATTATATGCTATGATCTGCTCTGCTTATCAGTTTTCTCATTTAAAAATATCTCATGAAACTGTTTCCAAGGCAACTGTTCCAGCTCTAAATCATTCTTTGTAATGACTGCATAATATTTCATATGTGGACGCACCACGATTTATTCAGTCCTCCCCAATATTGCTGGCACCAGGAACAAAGCTGCAGTAAACAACCTTGTACATATATTCTGATACCCTGATGCTATTATTTCTATGAGATACATTACTAGCACAGGATGGCGAGGTTGGAAGGCATATTTCTTATGTTAGCAAATGTTTCCATTGCATTTCAAAGAAAGATTTAAATTTTACATTTCCACTATTTGTGTATGGCAGGGACTTCCTCCTCCATATTCCCATCAGCCATCGGTGCCATCACTTGTTTAAACTTTTGCCAACCTGATAGGAGCAAAGTGGTAACCCATTTTTCCTTTCCCTGCTTCACTGATATTTTTTTAAAAAATAGATACATTCCATATTGTGTGAGGAGGGGCAAGCTTGGCAGTGTGCTTTCTATCATAAATTCCACGTCAGTGGACCTCTCCATAACTCACGTCTCGAAGGAGATGATATTGTCCCTTTAAAGCATGATGAGAATGGGCCCTGTTTTAAAACATGAATTTTAAAATTCCTGTTTAGAGAAATCTAGATTTATCTCTTTCTGTGAGCTGAAAGTCAGACAGGGCATCCTATATTATTCCTACTCGCCCTTTCTTACACCACCTTTTCCCCTAGAGCCTCTGTTTTCAGCACCTTTCTTTCTGTCTTCTTCCTCCCCACCCATTCTCCTGTTTACTTGAAACCTCCAGTATTCACTTTACAAAATTATTTTAAAAGCAGCTTGGAAAATAGAAGGTACTCTGTTGCAGCAACATTCATAGTGTAAGAGGGCGTTGATAACACTGAGGGCGTGAGCAGACGTGATCTGACGAGGGAAGCCCCGTGGCCTCATAGATTAACTTATCACTTGTGCAAACTGGAGTTAGGAGGGACCCCAGTGTTTAAAACTGGATACCCCTCCCGGGTCAGGCTCTTCCAATCCTACTCCTCATCCACTGGCAGCATGGAGCAACCTACAGCACAGGGAATCCCTGCGGGCCTTGGCAGAGCCTCACAGAATTGTGGAAATGTTGGCTTCCCTCCTAGAGTCCAGGAGTCCAGGGAACAGCCCAGCTTCTCTGGGGTTTCCAGAGAGGGGTGTCACTCATTAAAGAAGGCTTCATAGGCTTGTGGGCCCAGGAGCAACTGTGTGTCAAGAGCCTGCCTGGCTGGGGCTTAAGTCCGGAAGTGGGATCTTAGCATCCACTGAGGGCTGGAACTGCACTGGGTGCGCCCCTGGGTCTGCTCATCGTCCGGTTGGTCCTTTTGCTGGTCTTTGTCCTAGCAACAGAGCTGCCCCGGGGACCCACCGCTTTTGAGGGAAATAAGACAATTGAAGATGTCACATATGTAATGATCTAAGCAGCGATTCACTTTACTAATGTACATTGGATTGTTTAGAATGCATGCGATATGTATGAAATATCACTCCTGAGTCTGGAGGTGTTTCATTTTTCCCTTCACTCAAATGCAGAATCTAGACCGGCTTATGAATCTTCCACTGGATTCTGTGAAGATGGAACCTTGTTATATTAAAGTCGACCTGCTTCAGGAGCGCCTGCAGGATCTCAAGAGCCGCTTCCGGTTCCCCCACGTTGACCTGGTGGTGCAGAGAACACAGAACTACATGCAAGAGGTGGGAGTGCAGGGGCGTCCTTGGGGGATGGGGGTGGAGAGAGAGCAGAGAAATAAGTGCTGGCCGATGAGACAGGAGTGCTAGTGTAGCTCAGGGAAATAGGTCACATTTCTCTAGCCATCATGTCAAGAGAGGACATGTTCTGTCTCTCCAGCTGACTTCATCTTCCTCCCACGTTCATGAACATCACAGGGAAACAAAGTAGCATCAATTGATAATTGCTTGGTTTGTGAAATCAGTAACCTTGGCTACCCATTAGAATCATCTGGGGAGCTTTTAAGAAATACTGATGTAGCCGGGCGCAGTGGCTCACGCCTGTAATCCTAGCACTCTGGGAGGCTGAGGTGGGCAGATTGCTCGAGGTCAGGAGTTCGAAACCAGCCTGAGCGAGACCCCGTCTCTACTAAAAATAGAAAGAAATTAATTGGCCAACTAATATATATAGAGAAAAAATTAGCCAGGCATAGTAGCACATGCCTGTAGTCCGTATGACGGGCTGAGGCAGTAGGATTGCTTTTGAGCCCAGGAGTTTGAGGTTGCTGTGAGCTAGGCTAACGCCATGGCACTCACTCTAGCCTGGGCAACAAAGCAAGACTCTGTCTCAAAAAAAAAAAAAAGAAAAGAAAAGAAATACTGATGTCTAGGCCCCATCCCCAGTGAGTCTGATTATACATAGCATATATATTTTGGTACTTTTAAAAGAACTTCCCCACTCCCATTCTTACTGCTTCCAATTTTCAGCCAGGATTGAGAACCACTGTCTTAAATCAATTCCCCAACATAATTTAGAGTAAACCAGTCAGTCAATCACAGCTTCATATTTGAATTTCTTGAGTCAGAGAACCATTTCCCCAACAACAGGAATGAATAGCACAGATGCCTGCCATATTGCATGTAGGGTTTCCCAGATGAAGAAAGTGTAATCATTGCGGCTATAAGGACGTAATTCCATTTCACATTGTGCCGGATCCCATTTCAGGGAGCTTGAGTGAGACGCATTCTTAGATAAATTCACCGCAGTGTTGAAGTGCTGTGATAAGGGTGTGTATTGGATGCTTTAGGATCACAGGCTTGGAGAAGAAAGGAGCATTTTTTTCCTTAAAAGTTATGGGCAGGTTTAAGCAATACATTTTATCTAACCCTTGAGTTGTGAAGGATTAAAGAGGAACAAGGAACAAAATTGGGCAACAGTTGAACAGAAGTCCCTTTGGTAATACTGGGCCCTGGCGAAGCGGATACAGGCGAAAGTGCAGAGACTAAGATGTCAGAACCACTTCCGTTTTCTGACCCACAAGTGTCTGAGCCACGGTCTCCACGGAGCCCTCACCCGCCTCCCTTCCCAGACTTGCAGACAGGGAGAGACGTGAGCTGCGGACGAGATGCGGAAGGAGAGAGGGGCTGCGGAGTGGCTCTCGTCTACCTACAGGGGGAGAATGCTCCCACCTCAGCTCGTGAATCCATCAACAAGATAGCATTCTTGGCGGCTAGTAGGGAGTGGAGGAAGGAGAATGACCGCAGGAGATGACGGACTTCTCAGACCCACGATCTTGGGTTTTCCAGTTCAGAGATGACGGAGAGGGGATGGGCAGAAGATACACGTATGCGTGCATGCATACACATATACACGCGTGTGTGTTTCCCAGCCTCTTACCGTGTCCGCAGCTGTCTTTTTCACCGTTCAGGTAGTGGGACCACATTGCCCTGGGTCACCCCAGAGGAGTGCCTGAGGCGACTCTTCTCGGATGGCTCCTACCCGCCCTGCCCTCCAAGCCGGGTCAGACACGCCCGAGGACGGCGAGCCCAGCCTCTGACTGTGTCTGTTTCTGTGCTGCTTTTGGTTTCCAGCTGATGGAGAACGCAGCGTTCACTTTCGAGCAGCTGCTTGCCCCGCATCTCCAAGGAGAGGATTCCAAAGCCGCAGCCGCCATCGAGAAGGTTAAGCTCCGAGTCTTAAAGGTAAAACTGGTCTCTCGTTTGTGGGAAGCAGCAAACGAGAACGTGACCCCTGTTTCTTTTGTTAAGAGGAAAATACCACGTTCTCTCCTTCACTCTAATCTTTCCTCCTCTCCTCCAAAGTACCAGTGACTGTCTCCTCACTGGCAGCAAGTTCCTCAAACATGACTTCCATGCCTGTTCTGCCATCTAGTGGCTACTTAAGGTCACAGCATCATTACCCACAGATAGAAGGGCTGCGTCCCAGCTTACTTGGAACGTGACATTTATTGGCTGTCCACTGTAAGCATTGTGGGTATTGCATGGGATATAAAAATAGTCCAGGCATAACCTCTTTCTTCAAAGAGTTTACAGGATAGTAAAATCCATTAAATTGGCCGTTTTTAAGAAAAATCAAAACCTCATGGCAAAGGAAATATTTCAAGGAAAAGATAACTGCCATGTGAGATTGTTTTAAATGTATTTCAGCATATGCATATACCAAAATGATTTTAATAATAGGAGCTCACATATATGTGGTATATTTTAAAGCTTTTATAACCTACTTTGTTTCATTTGATTCTCACAAGAACTTACGAGATAATTAGAATATGTCCCCGTTGTACAGATGAAGAAACTGACTCTGTTAAAGCTAATTTGACTTACTTAAGCTAAGCAGGATAGTGAATGGTGAGCTTAAAGCTAAATTATCCTTATACCTAGTCTACTAATATATTACTACCTCCTACTTCCCCTCAACAATGCTTTGGAACAGAAGGTCCAAGTCCCACAGAGCCTAGGAATGGTTCCTGCATTTTGGACATGTCTGGAAATTCTAGCAACCAAATCCTTGAGATTAAAAGCAATATTGATCATGGTAACACAAATAATGATGAACTTGCAATTGAATTGAAAGAAAAGGTAATATCAGTGTCAAGTGCTTCAGCAGACAGAAGGAGAAGAAAGCAAGCAAGTAGAAAGGCGTTTAAATATTAGGACCTCAGGTTCGAAAGGGAGTTAGCATGCCTCTAGTTCAACTTCATATCCAGTGTTAAGAATGTGCCCCCCAGGGGCAGTCCCACCAGCGCTTGGCCGCCTCGACTGTCAGGATGCTTTCTTCCTCCCAGGACAGCTCATTTCATCTCTGGACACTTTTGACTGCAAGAACATGTTTCCCTATGTTAGACCAAAGTTCTCACCACTGGTAATTCCAGTTCTGCCCTCTTTGTTCATAACTTCCTTCCACGTGGCAGCATTTGGTTGTTTGAATAGAGTTATAATTTTACTCCAACTTATTACCTCCTGTATAAATGCTTTCATCTCTTTAACCATTCTTCATTTAGCCTGACCATCCTGCTCACCTGCCTGTGACTACCCTCCAGTTCGTCGGTGATTGCCTTGGGGTGACATCTAAAATTAAACCCTGGTCTCCAAGGTTGGATGTTTAATGCAGAGCAGAGAGAATCATCATCTTTCTTGTTCTAGATCTTTGGTTAACATGTCACAGTGTTAATGGAGCTATGAGGCAGGCCTCTCTTTCTTTATGGAAATCATTACGACCCACCAACCCAGCTTTTGGCATGTAGAGTAATAGATGATCCTGGCTCCTATGGACCCACCCGGGACAGGAGTGATGAAGTACAAACTCACCCCCTCCAGGTCTAGCCCCAACTTCTTTGTAATACAGAAGAAGTCACTACTCTGTTTCTATCTTGCCTCAGTTTCCATATCTGTAAGAGGAGAAGATGAGAGGGGTCGTTATCAGTCATACCCAGCCTGGAGCGTGAGGGAATTACAAGGTCTCAGAAAGATCTCTGAGACCTTGGCAATACAAACGTTTTCAGAAATTAGGGGAAGGAAGAAAGATGAAGCGGGTGGCTGAGTTTTTTGTTTAAGTGAAAGCTAACAGATTGTAATGTTGCTATTTAACATATGTTTCTGTATTGACAGCAATATGATTATGACAGCAGCACCATCCGGAAGAAGATATTTCAAGAGGCGCTGGTTCAAATCACACTTCCCACCGTGCAGAAGGCACTGGCATCCACGTGCAAACCAGTAAGGGGACAGGATCCTCCAAAGAGCACCTGCTCTTATTGCCTCTGAAGTTCAAAGTTCTTTTGTGGTGGTGCACGTGCAAAAACAGCCTAGATGAGGGGGTGGTTGGCAAACTTTTTTTGTAAATGGTCAGATAGTAAAATATTTTAACCTTCATCGGCCATACTATTTCTGTTGCAACTATTCATCTCTGCTTTTGTAGAGCAAAAACAGCTATCGATGATATAGAAACAGACTATATTTACAAAAACAAAAAGCTAGCTGGATTTGCCGACCCCTGGATTAGATAAAAATCTCAAAGGGTATGATCTGAATTTGAGCCAAGCTAAGGGTTGACACAGAACTCTTAAGGATATCAGGTGCTCCTCATTGTGTAACAGCGTGACTCATAGGTCCAACATGTCTTCTGAAACTTGACCGTTACATCCTGAAAAGATTGTAAGATGATTACAGAAGGACATTTGTTCTGTTAAACCCAGTAATGTTTGTTTAATGAAATCAATGAAACCATTCAAAGCTTCCACCAACATCAGGCATCCGGTGATGGCCATGATTACGAAGGTGCGCCTCAGTCTGCAGAGCAGAGTGATGGGCAAGCAGAGTCTGAAAATAGCCTGTGAGGAGGTTAAGTAACCGACCCAAAGTCAGAGGGCTGGAAACCACCAGAGTCTGAACCCAGTTCACACTCACCTATAACATGGTGGACGCCCAGTAAATGGAATCAACTCCTGCCACTACTATCATCATCATTAGTATTACTACTACTTCTACATTTCAAAAATGATCTATGAGCCTGGACATTGCAAGGCCTGCTCCCTCTTGGAACAAATGATAAAAAGGTTTTTAGAATTTATAAAGGGCTTTTTAGCAGCTTGGAGAGTCTCCTAGCCCTGGAACATTAAAATCCTTCACTTGAGTTATTTTACTGCAGAAATGTCTTTGGTCACTTTTATAGTCTGTAAATGCTGTTTTTCTTCAGACACTCATCAGCATATCTAGTGTTTGGCATTTATTTCTTGGGGCATATTTCTTTAATAGAAAAGGATCTGAATAAGCCGGGGGAGTAAGGCATCTGTCCATGGGACCGTCTGTTGGCCTCATGTAGAAGACCAGTTCAGCAGCTCAAATGGGGACAGGTCCACCTTTACAGGTGTCTGCACGCAGATGTTCTACCTAGGATTTTTGTCTTTTTCAAAACCCAAAGGCAGTTTTGGGGCCTCAGAATCATCTCCTCCCAGATGAGGAGAAGGGTACAGAGGATTCTCCTTCTCATCGGCTCCCCTCTTTCCAAGCATCAGCAGAGTGAGTTGTTTCCTGTCTGTAAGAGGCTCCTGTCATTTCTTAATCAAGAGAGACTGGTTTCAAAGGAGCCCATGATCCAGAGTTTCTAGCAATGAAGGATATTGTATCAGTGTCAAGACCTTTTTAAAAATCTGGATTTATAGAATAGTTAAATTAGGGGATTATGTCCTTCACAGAAGGAGCCTTTATTTTGCTAAGATATGTTTCCCTTGGTTAATTTGCATCTTCCTAGATCTGTGGTACTCAATCCTAGCGATCTACTAGAATTGTCTGGGGAGCTTTAAAAAAATGCTGACTCCCCAAGACCCACCCTTAGGAATGCTAATTTAATTGGCCCAGGGAATGAACTATATGGCACAGTTCAATCAATTCAATATCGAAGACCTGTTTTGCACAGTTGGGCACATCGCAGCAGTATAAATGTCCCTAGAAGTTATTCTTTTCCATAGAATTATTTAGCTGGTGGAAATGTTAAAGGTTCTCTGTTTCTTTACTCAGCAAAGATGTAGTAAATATGCATGAGATATGATCCAGGCCTTGCGCCAGGCCAACGTCCCTGCGGTCCTGGAGTTCACAGGGTAGAGACAGGAGACAGGCAGACAGGCTGCCGAGCGAGGGGTACAGCAGGAGCCTTATGGGGAGGAGTTCCAGGGACAGTGCCAAACTCTGCTCATGGGGTCAGAGAGGACTTCCCAGAGTCATGCTTTCCTCCAGCCCTGAGGGATGAGTGACAATCAGGAGAATAAGGAGAGGAAGACCATGAGCCTGTGCCCTGCGTTTAGCAGAGGAGGAGACAGCAGGGCAGGGCAGTTATGTGGCCACCCAGTGTCCCACGGCTAGGCCAGGGAGCGTCCAGTCCCCTGGGCAGTGCTCTTTCCACATCCGTGTGTCAGTCTTGTCTTCTAGACCCTCCAGGGGTCATTGCAACTCATGTCTCTTCAATCCTTTGACTTTCTTTGTGGGTGGGTAGAAAGGGGCCCCATTATTGCCTGCTGTGATCTGGTCCTGGCACAGCACCCCAAGTCCTAGCACTGAGAGGTGTCTGAATGTGGTGGCTTCTGAGTACCTGCAGTAAAGGCATCAAATCCCGCTGCTGAGTCCCTGATTCTCTAAGAGCCACCTGTGGGGAGCCATCCCCCAGGACCATCGGGTACAACGATTACTAAATCAATCCCTGGGATATGATTTGGCACATTTTGATCCCTGCCCCATCCTCCTGCTGATAATAAGCAAACCACTTGGAAACCCTTGGAGCACAGGGCGGGTAAGGGATTTTGGATCATGCCTGGGCTGTGTTAGAGGGAATCAAAGAGGAGTGTCAGGGCCGGTTGGAGGGAAAGAGAAGCGTGTTCCTGAAGAGTCCTTGACTAGAGAGTCTCCCAACCTGAAATGGGGCCCCATTCTAATAAACAGACATCTCCTCTATGACCCAGCAAACTCATTTGCAGATATATACCCAAGAGAGGTCCTTCAATCCACAAAACAATACGTACAAGAATGTCCAGTGCAGTTACATTCATAAAGGTCAAAAAGTGGAAAAATCTCAATTTTCATTGATAGGAATATGGATAAGCAATTTTAGTTTATCCATAAAATGAATGCCATTGATTAATATAAAGGAATAAGCTACTAACACGTGCAGCAACATGGATGAATCTCAAAAACAGACACAAAAGAATACATGATTTCATTTATATAAAGTCCAAGAACAAGCAAATCTAATCTATCATGCTAGATATCAGACCAGTGCTTTTATCTTGGGGAAGCCTGGAAGGGGGAATGGAGGAGCTTTGTGTGTGTGTGGGGGGGTGATGGAATGTTCTATCTTGATCTGGGTTATGGTTACCTGGATATATTTATGTATTTTAAAGTTGAGCTATACTTTTAAAATCTGTACCTTTTACTGTATGTAAGATACCTTAATAAAGTACTGTTAGTATAAAAAGAAAAAAGGAAGAAGAAAACACTTTGGTAATGAGGGAAAAAAGGAGGCTTCAAAGCCACTGATGAGGAAAGCCACTTGAGATGATCAAAAATCTTTGCTGTCTTCCCCCATGAACAGCAACGGATGTGTGTGTCCAGTACGAGGAAAGGGAAGGGAACTGCCAAAGGATCATGCCACCCACTATCGTGGACTGTTACTAGAAATGGCGAGGTCACACATGGTGCCCAGCGTAGTGAATTAGATGGAAGGGAACCCAATAAAATACTGCTGAATTAAGTTGTTATTTAAACATCTTTTG